CCTTGCTTAACATGAAGATCAATATTTCTGATGTAAAATCTCAATTATGAAAATCTAAGATGTTTCCTTGATTTTAAAGGTTTAAACAGACTCCATATACTCAAAAGTCTTCGGACAAACCAAACAAGATATGAATGGTGACCACTCCTCATTTTTGATTTAATGCAATCAAATCGGAGAGCTAAATCAAGCATATTGTGAGATTAAATTAAATAGAATAATGGGAAGCTGAAGATAGCAGTAAGGCTCTACTAACATCTAATGAGTCTCACCCAGCATGCCTTCATTGTACATGTGGTCATTTTCTTACACAAAGCTGTAATTTAGTATGACCTATAACACGCAAAATCCCTAAATGCCTGAAATTATTTCACTACAGACCTAATGCCTGAAAACCTGCTGACCTAATAATTAGGTATGAAATGACCCAGTCTATCTCCAAGAGATTTTAACAGCTTGCAAAACAAGAAATACAGTGTGCTTATTCAATTTGTTTCTACTGTGGTGTTTGAAGACTGCCAAAAAATATATAAACTTTTTGCACTTATTGTTTAGTAGCATTTCACTAGTAGACATGACATAATCCAAATAGCTCTTTGCATGACTTGGCAAGAACAGCGACTACACACTAATGTGGAAATTTGGTGCCACCACCGCCGCCAGTTGCCATATATCAAGCAGTATACCTATGAGACACTAAAGCTTTAATAAAGTTGAAGGTTGTTATTTATGGGAATTGCTCTAATGGCTTGCCTAAATAATTTTATTGCCTTATTTAGCTCTCCTCTTTCTGTTGAGACATGGTAATAAGAACCTGATTCCAGTCTTGAAGAATACATGTGGGAGTCTTCATCAAAAACAGTTTCTGTTTAACTTCTTGTGTTTCATACACTGAGAGAAGCTCAGAGAACCAAGACAGCAAATGGAATAGGAAGTGAGGAATTTTTAAGAATGTGCGGTTGATGTATTGACCAAACTTTTGCACTATAAAAATTTGTTGCACATTTCTTTATTAGTAGAACCATCTGATGTTCATCTGCCACAATCAGATGTTTCTATGTTAAACTCCTATTCATAAATTTGTTAGTGACATTTGATTATTTAGTATGATATTTTACGAGCTTTTCAATGTTGACACTGTCTTTCTTTTGTTGTCTCATAGATTACTGAATAAGAGAGAAAGATGAGCACCTTCCGAAAGCGGATCCAAGACTACATGTTGGAGAGAAAAAGGCGGCGAACCAGATTGGTGACTAAAGATGGTCGCTGTAACATTGAGTATGGAAACATCAAGTATAGCACCCACTTTGCCTTCCTGGTTGATTTCTGGACCACCTTTGTTGAGATCAGGTGGCGTTTTGTCCTGTTTATTTTTATTGCATCTTTTACCCTCAGCTGGTTTATCTTTGGCCTGCTGTGGTACTGGATTGCCCGAAGTAATGGAGATCTGGAATGGCAAGAGCCCCCTTCAGATCACAAACACTGCGTTGATAATGTTGCTGGACTCACCACAGCCTTCCTGTACTCACTTGAAACCCAGACAACTATTGGGTATGGCGGAAGAGCAATCACACCTGAATGCCCTGGTGCCGTGGCCCTTATCATTATCCAGTCCCTTCTTGGAGCAGTTATCAACTGCTTCATGTGTGGAATCATCTTGTCCAAGATCTCCCTACCCAAAAAGAGGGCCAAGACTGTCACGTTTAGTGAAATGGCTGTCATCAGTCCCAGAAATGGTTCTCTCTGCCTGACCTTCAGAGTGGCCAACCTGCGTAAGACTCTCATGATTGGAAGCCAGATCTATGGCAAACTGCTGAGAACAACAACCACGCCAGATGGTGAGACAATCATCATGGACCAAGTTAATATTGACTTCCTGGTAGATGCTGGAAAGGACAACCTATTCTTTGTAACTCCTCTCACATTGCATCACGTTATTGACAAGAGTAGTCCCTTCTTTGACATGGCAGTGGACACGCTGCATGACAAAGAGTTTGAGCTTGTGGTCTTTCTGGATGGCACAGCAGAGTCCACAAGTTCTTCATTCCAGGTGCGAACCTCCTTTATTCCTCAGGAGATTATGTGGGGTTACAACTTCCTGCCGATCATCTCCAGGAGCAAAGAAGGGAAATACAGAGTTGATTTCTCCAACTTCTCCAAAGTGGTTCCGGTAGCCACTTCACATTGTGCATACTGTTATCACAACATCAAAGGACATCATCTCCATTCCAGAGAAGGACATGACAACCCGGGCTTTGAGGTGATTGAAATTGACAATCCCTCTAATGTCACCAAGATGTGAAACACTTTGTGTTCACACAGGCTGAAATATCTGACTGGCAGCCCATTGTATCTCCCGCAATAAATTTCTGAAGGATAGACCATTGCTGGAGGCATCTGTGGATGAACCATTTGCCCATCACCAAATCATTTGCATTTAAACTTGATTCAGATTAACCGATTGTTTTGTAATTCTTTTGTATTTACAAATAAGAAACTTGTGGGATCAGGGCACTGATTGTGAGTTTTGTATTTGTCTGTAAGTAAAACCACACCTGTCATGATTTTTTGATGAAAAACCTGTTTTTTATCAATTTTCATTTAGATAATGCCTAAATTACCTGAACGCAACTGACTCAATTGTTTTTGTGTATATATACATATATATATGTATATATATTTTTTTTTTATTGCTTTTACTCATGGGTAAAACATGTATAGTAAAATAAACTATTTTTGCATTCATAAACGTTTGTCTGCAGTAACATTTTTCACACCAAACCAAAGCTAAATGTCATTTTGGTGTGTGATTAGAAGTTCAAACCAGAAGTTAATCTTTATCATGACTTTTGACCTGTAAACAAAATTAATATCAACAAATAATCATTAGTTCTCCAATCAACTACCTGTATATGCTCAAGAGAAACTGAGAAAATGTTTCTCATGTAGGAAAGAATAAGATAAATCTTCTTTTTGACTGGGACATTTCATTCCTCCCAAAAATCCCAGAAAGTCCTCATTGGTCCATTGTAGCATTTATTAAGGTTGTATCCACACCTGCTTTAAATTTTCCAAAAAAAGATCTGTACAGGCTGTGCATTGAGAACATGTTTCAAGAACTTGCCTTTATCCTCCAGTCTTTTTGGAACCAGTCCAAAAATTTTTACTAACACACACATTTGGAGTTGTGTAAATTTTATGTGAAGACTTGAAATTAGCACAGGAATGAAACATTTTTTATGAACAACGGTTAAAAACATAAATTTGTCCATTTGTGTGGCGAATGGGTGTGCAGGGCACCCTTTAATCAGAATAAACCATGGCTTTGACTTTTATTCCACTTTGTTCTCAGTGCAGATATATTTAACATAAATACAAAAAATATAGATTTTTTTACTTCAGCTATTATTTCTTAATCTGCTCAGAGAATAACTAATTTAAAAAATTAGTGAGAAAACCTGGATGAGCAGATAAAACTTTTAATATGTCCAGGACAGAATTTTTTTGTTTCCAATTTTGATCATTCAAGAAGAGGCATTTGCCACTCAAGTCTGACACACGTCTGCATTTAAAATGAGAACGTTTCTCATTTTTGTGAGTTTGGAAGGAATGTCATTAAATGTTTTTGACAGCAAAAAGATGGCCTTTAGAAAAAATAAACCTTGCTTGTCTTCTTTTGCTGTCAGGTTTAAGCTATTTTCTAGTTTATCAGGTTCATCATCAGACTTTTGACCCCCCTTAGAAAGTGCTAAACAACAGGGCAGAAAGGAAAAAATAGCAGCCTCTAAATTGAGCATAATGTTGAAATCACAACAAAGTCCAGAGTAACAAACCATTCAAACATCTGTTTTGATGACAAAGTTGTTGGAATATGCTTTACTAGTAACTGAAAGTATGATAGATAGCGCACAATGGGATCTGGTTCATATTTCAAGGCTTTCTCTGAGTACAATTTATTTTAATTCAGTTCAACTTAATTTAGACTTATTATAAAGACACACATTCCTGGTTCATGTTACAAATAAAAAAAGAAGGAAAAAAACAACAGTAATTAGTGAAACCCACAAGGAAGAAGACATGAAGCATCGCACAGTTCATAAAAAGTTGTGTCATTCAAATGTGTTGAATCCGTAGCTCTTCTGTAAAATTGCAGACTACAATTTCCCCAAAACGACACGATATCAGACGCATACAAGTGTAAAGAGTTTGCCACACCAATGCCTTGCTAAGATGCCGGCGTCTTCCTATTGGCTGATGGATGATGAGCACTAGGCCATGGCTGCAAAGTGAACATATCTCAACTGAAAATTTGCATCCATCCTCCCATTATTTTTAATGACTTATTGTGTAAAAGAAAAGGTCAAATTCTTCAGTGTTTCCTTTTAACTCTTTTATTGTCTAAAATGGAAAAGCATTGCTTTACTTGAGCAGTTCTGTATAAAACATATCAACATACAGACAATTTTTCATTTGAAATGCAACTGTACATATTTTTTGTACATTCTTTGGCTTAATAACTACTTTGAGTGTTGTTCTTTTAGCAGTTGGCATATGTCAGAGTTCGTGTACTTCAGGCAACGATTATTCAATTTCTAAATTAAATGAATGATCGATTAATCATAGGTGAAATGATTAATTGTTTCAATCCCGAGAATAAAGAATTCTATTCTTTCTGACAATGTTTTAATATAAATGTGAATAGAAAAATCTAAACAATGCAGTGGTGAACATAAATATGTGAATATGTTCATGTGATTTCATACGTGTTGCTGTTATTAGCAACACGTATGAACTTGCAGCAAGAAGGTTCTGAGTTCCAGTATTCGTCACTCTTCTCTGTAGAGTTGGCATTCTTCCTATGTATATTTATCCTTGTGATGTTTCTCTCTTGTTCATTGGCCACTAAAAATAGGCATCGATCTCCCTGTGATCCGAACAAAGTATTGAATATTGATCGACTTCAACTGTGGTGGAGATAAAGTCAGGCCAAGTAACAGTACTAGAGAGGTAAAAACATTTATTTTGTCACATTTTCTATACAAAAGCCCTTTTTCAAAAGGTTTTACTTCATACACTGCAGGAATTACAATTAATTAATATTAAAAAATAATACACTGCTTAATTGTAAAGTTATACACACAATACATATAATGGATTGAACATCCAAAATACCTTGCATATATGAAGAAGTAGCACAGATTCCTCTTCACTGATACTGCTTATAAAACAGGAATGTTAAGGGTACATTACCATAATTTCTTTATGCTACAAATGACATGTTCCCTTTGGATTTGTTCACTTAAAGCTATACATCTGCAAAGAAAGCTGGATGTAAATATTAATGCTGTATTACTGAGTATCAAACACCTGAAAACCTTAAAAGCACAGGGCTAGTCATGAACTTTAGGTATAAAAATGGAGTGGCACTGGAATCTCTCCATCACCATTATGAACTGCATACAAAGTATAGGAATCATCTCTATTAGATTATGAGCTAAGCAGGCATTTGTGGTTTTAGGATTACAAACAAATAATATACAGATATATTTTTTAAACTTACAGGCACTTAAGATGTTACAACTAGATTTTAGAAAACAACACCTGTATGAAAACAAAAATGCTAAACTGCATTGCCCAAATGTACAGATATAAAAATACTTAACATGCTCAACATACTACTAGCAGAAATGGACTCAAAACGTTTGCATTTTTGACCGAGGTCAACTCGTATTAACTCTCTTGGCGTTTTATACTGTGTCACATATGAAAATAACTCTGCATAATTTATACAGTAAGTTGCTTTAATGCCTAGTTGACTGATGCTTATAAAATAATAAAAAATAGGTCTGACAAACGCACAGCGTTTGCGAATCTGAGGATTTCTTTGTTTCATCTTGTCATACTTCATTGGTTTTTGTTCTTTGATAAATGACTTATTTTCAAGTGTCTATTTTCAGTGACGTCCTTTGAATAAGTTCTGAAATTGACAGTTGAAAAGCTGATTATAGTTGTAATTTTGACATTTCTTCACATGATAATGAAAAAATTCTGACTTGAGATTTGTTTGCATTTTGCTGGGCTGGAAGATCAGCGAAAAACTTTTCATCAAACATGCTGCTCTCATGATAGGATCCAGCCCTGGAGAAAAAAAAAAAGAAATGCTGCAACATGGGTGTTTGTTAATCAGAATCACGGGGACCATCACTTCTCCACACTGAAGAAATAGGTACAACTGACCTAAAAAAGAGAGAAGATAAACCTTGGCAGCTTTTATTGTCAGAAAATATTTTTTAAAATAATAATAATAAAAAAAGAGTCAAAACAGTTATACCTTCTTCAGGACTTTAGTTGTTTACTGGTAATTGATAAGAACGATAAGCTATAGATCAGCAGTTGGAGCATCACCCTAACTCTGCAAGGGTTAGAGCTTTGATTCTCAGCACATTTTGAAAGTAGATAAAGACTCAAGGGTTTTTGGATAGTTAAACAACATCCTCAAAAACAGCAAGGCCAACATAACCCTAACCCCTCCCCCCACATACTCTAAAATCACTTTCATGTTTTAAATTCATGACAATACATGGACATGCATTATTATTATTCTTAAATAACCACATCTGACATATTTTGATTTAGGAAAGGCTTTTTTCTTTTAAGAGTATTTCACAAGCCAGAAAATGTTCACATTAATACTGATATGGTTGAGCAACATATTTTTTTAAAAAAATACTATGGCTGAAAGGAAGCGATGAGTCAAGCACTTAGCTTAGTGTGTGGCCTACCAAAAAAAACAACAATAAAAAAAAAAAATAACAAAAGAAAAAAACACGAGAGAGACACACAGGACGGGAATTGCTGCAAATTACTGCAATTAAATCTAGACTTTGCTTCTGCAGCACAATTGACTTAACTCTGCTGTGCTTATTACCTATCATCTCTCTCGACTTCATGTAAAATACATTGAAAACATTCTTTAAGCAACTGAGTTGACCCAGGTTCAGCAGAAACATACAGCGCTTCATTCTATGGCACCTAACTCTTCTCCAGCCTTCCAGTTTTGGAGGATAAATTAAATGGCGGCATGGTAAACTGTGTATTCCAGTCGCCAATTTTTATTCAGTGCTGAGAAAAGTTCCTCTTGCAAGATCTCTTACGTGTCTATTGGAGGCACACATACACACACACACACACGCCCACACACCCACACACACACAACACTCTTCCTTCCCCCCTCCACACGCACACACAAGTAACATTAAACAAGAAGATGAACAGAAAAGCTAAGAAAAACAGTGGAAAAACCCCAAAAGGTAGTCAATAAGCGGCTACAGCTGATTTTTTTAAGCAAGGTGAACTGAAAAGGACATAAATTGAGACCCATAAGTGGTAGGCCCATGTCTGGTAAGGTAGCATGGAGAAAAGGTTGACACACTCAGGCTCAACACCTTTCCTTTGGCTTTGGGACAAGTATTGGCTTTTAGATTAAACTTTCAAGACAATGGAAAAGACAGGCACAGGAAACTTAGATGTGCATCTATAAACAGTTGTAATAAGTAGTATTCCATTGTAGACCAAGGTATCCAGTTTTTATAAATTCTTACACACACACAAAAAAAAAATATTCAATTTACTCATTCTTCTTTGAGGAACAGCATTTCTTTGGATGTTTGTTTCCATCAGTTCAGTCTTTGGCATTACAAGGAGTGCAGCTCAGCAATTTTAGTAAGGGGAGAAGGTAGGTTTAAAAAGTTGGTCATTGATCGGTGAGAGTTGCTTCAATAGTAACTGCCAAGATGGGATGGCACATGGGTGTTAGGATGGCGAGGAACGTTTGGGTTTGGGTAGATGCCTGCAGTGGGCGAACTCCAGTACTGAGCAGTGGGTCCAAAAAAATTGGAGGAGGTGACTGGCATAGATGGAGGGTGCGGGGATACAAAGTTGACCTTCTGCTGGTGGGTGTGGTAAGAAGGCACATAGGCTAGGTCCGAGGGGTATTTATACATTGATGACTCGGTGGGGTGTGGCTGCAGTGCCTGAGCAATACCATGAAAGTCGAACTTGTAGGCATAGCGTTTGCCATGCACTTTCGTCATAATATTTTTGTCATAGTAGTAGCGCAGCGCACGGCTCAGCTTGTCATAGTTCATGTTGGGCTTGCTCTTACGCTCACCCCATCGTCGCGCCACTTCATCTGGATCTGTCATCTTAAACTCTCCATTGGTCCCTTCCCAAGTGATGCACCCTGCATTGGCACTGTCGGACAAGAGCTCCAAGAGGAACTGCCAAAGTTGAATTTGACCTGAGCCTAAAAGTGGACAGAAGAAATCAGTCATGGACACTTGCAGTCTCTAAAATATAAGCATTTTTGTTTTTTGAATTGTATTATTTCAGTATTTGTCTGATTACAGAAGGATTAAATGTCAATAACCTTACCTGGATTGGCGAGACGACTACTGGTGGGGCCCAGAATCTGATAAGGATCTGTGGGGAAATATAAAAAGATGATCAATCTGGAATCAGACTTGTGTGCTATATAGTACAGTAATATGTCCTGAGAGAAAAAAAAAGATAAAATTGGTATCAGAATCCCTATCAAAACTCCACTCCAAACCCATTGTTTGTCAACTGTCTGAATGTTTTTTGTGACAGTCGCACCTGTAGGTTTTGCCAGAAAGCTGTATGATAAGATTTATTTGGCCATTTTTCAAAATTCATTTCAATTCGATTCACAATGTATTTGTGTCTGCTTGGAAAACTGAATGTACAAAAGGCGGTGATCAGTGTGAATGCAACAATCTGAGTAGTTTTCACTCTTTACAATGAGGTCCATAATAAATCATGGACCCAGTTGGTAACCATGTCTTTATGTCATGTATACCTGCACATTATGCTCAGATAGCCAACTGTGGGAAAGAGCCCAACTGAAGTTTTGTTCCAAATATTTTTACTAAAAATTATATCTAAATATATTTTATGCAGAATGAATCAATGAGAAACATCAAAACAAACAGTAGACGTGCAAGCATTGGTCGAGAATGTCAGTCAACTACTCAACATGAAAATATTGTCAAGAAAATAAAAGACAAGAGTTCACTGAAGTCTGTAGTTTCATATGTGGAGTCAGATATAACAAACATAATCTTTTTCAATGAACTGTTGTCAGTACTTCATAGTCGCATTCACTTTCTTAACTTCTTAGCTTTCTCAATCAATCAATCAATCAATCAATCAATCAATCAATCAATCAATCAATCAATCAATCAATCAATCAAATTTTAGTTGTACAGCACATTTCAACAGCAAGGCATTTCAAAGTGCTGTACATCATAGCAAACATAAAAACACGTCATGCAACATAGAATCAACATTCAAAACATGACATTATGTCAAGGTCCATCATTAAAATTGTAATTGATTACGTTTCAAATACAATTCTGAACAGGTGGGTTATTAGTCGAGATTTAAAGGAAGCCTGTTTTACAGTTTTCTGCAAGTTTGTTCCAAATTTGTGGTGAGCTGAATGCTGCTTCTCCTCGTTGGTTCTGGTTCTTAACAAGTTACTCTTATCATGGTGTTGCTAAAACTACCTTTGAAAACTCTTGCTCCAAGAAAATTCAAGCAAATTCATGCCATTGATTTGATTCCTCTGTTTTTGTATTTTTTATTTTTTATACTTAATAAACATTACATAAAAGGTTAAAATAGAAAAAGAAATAAATGCTATGCACAATAAGGAATAAGCCATTGTATTTTTAATTACTGAGGGATTGCAACTCATGTGTCTTCTGTTTTTGTCAGCAGACTAAATCTCTCTCTGTGTAATGGATATTTCAGCTGAGGTTGTTTTCCACTGTTTTTACTGGAGGGTGTGAGTTGCTGTTCCTTCCTTTTAAAATGCCTTAGACGTGTTCTGTTAGATTCAAGGCATACTTGGCCATCTCATGCTTCTCATGTTTCTTTAAAACAAAACAAAACAAAAAACAAACAAACAAACAAACAAAAAAAAAAAACCCTTGAAACTTCTTTATAAACTTTCCATCCTGGAATATTTCTGCATTAAGTAAGTTCAATGTTTTGAAGATTTTATGATCATTTTTTAAGGATATCTACATTATTTAATGAGAACATCTAATTAACAGTTTAATATTATACAATATATTGAAATAAGGATATTATAGGAAGGTGAAAATCAGTGCAACATGTCTTGGCTGAGTAGAACAATCCTCTTTCAGATTATTAAATATTTTTGCCAACTTGCTGTTAATCTTTATTATAGTTACTGGATGCCAAAACATGGAGGTGCATTTCAATATATGTTTGTCAACTTTTTGTTTTCTTTAAGGTATTTTTCTGGTCTGACATTCTGTTTGGCTGTGATACCTTCTTGAAGTAGAGCATTATGTAAAATAGTGCTACCATAAACTAACCATTCTCCTTTCCCTCCTGTCAACTTTTCATTTTCATGAACATAAAATATAATCTTAGATCGGTTAATTTATTTCCTCTTGTACGTTCTGCTCTGTCTCCTTGAACAGAAGACAGTGTTGCTTGTGACAGATGGCTGCTTGTATTGAGCCCGGTTTTGCTGGAGGTGATGTGATGCTTTATTCTAAATTCTTATTTGTCACAAAAAGTAGCTGAAAACAGTTTTGTATGACCTTCAAATCGCACAACTATGTCTAATGAACAGACATGTAATATATACTATTACAGCTGATGTATCCAGATAGGATTTTGCTGTAAACAAAGTGTAATTATGCTTGACTGTCTTAAGTACCAACATCAAGATAAGATTGGGAAAAAAAAAAAGAAAGAAAAAAATAGCTTTATCAAAGCATTATTTTCACTTCAAACAAGTTGTGAGTCTGTGCTCATTTGACCAAAAGCACAAATGCTACAGAGTAGGTAGTTACCTGGCTGAGGTCTGGCCTGCTCAGTGGACTTGGTCACATTCTGAGGAACTACAGGTGAGCCTGCAAGGAGGGAGGCAGTCATTTGATGAAGACAGGGAGACACAGAGAGAGAGACATAACATGATTCAGAGACTATATTCATAGGGTGGTCAAAGATAGCAAGACTACATATCTTGAAGGCATTTTAGTAGAGGTCCAAAGTAAATAAGGAGTGACTCGACTGCCTTCTGCAATCTTATGGAGTCTTTCCCACATGTCTAGACAGTGTTGATGTCAGTAAAACATCTCCTCTGGTGCAAGCTCTAGATAAAAGTATTACCAAGTATTTAAATGGTCCTGAACACCCATTGAGAAAGTTTATTTTTGACAGGTAGTGCTAAGAATTCCCTCTCAGTCAGTTTCAATCACTCTGTAGCCAAATGCAAAAATACATAAATCGATCTTTATATGTTACTATATGTGACCTTACCTTTGCCACTGTGCATGTTGTTAGACCACCCTGTCCGCCGTACAGCATCATATGATGGATCTGAAAAAAGTATTAGAAAAAGATAAAATCATTTGTTTTTTATTAGGAACTAACAAATTAATAATGTATTGTATTTCCAAAAGTGATAAGTGATACAAAGAAGCAACAATCCTTCAGATTTAGTCAGGTTATAGTCCTTAAAAAGTCTCCATGTGCATGTGGTTACATAACATATATAGTAGCTGATCACAAGAAAGCAATTGTCACAAATGTCAATCAACCACAATAAATCCATCAAAAAGTGCTTAACAATCTTTTCCACAAGATATCTGAACACGCTCATGTGGTTTAGCAGGGCTTGCTGTGGTGGTTAGAATGGCAAGGGCAAAATCTTTGAGATAGTTCAGAGCTGCTTGAGCAGCTTGCAAAATAGTAACCACAAATTGCTGATGCAAATTAATGAACAAAACACACAAAACAATAGCTGGACCGAACACGGATCATGTCTCAGTTTCTGATACCAGCAGCTTTTATGGAACCTCAACCAGTGACTCAATTAATCTGACCTGCGTAGGTTAAGGTCTGCCTGCTTTGTGTCTGTCTGTAGTGTAAGGCTAGACAGGTTCCACCAAACAATCAATCACTGTGACACAAGTGCATGCAACAGAGGCTGTGGGAACGTCTCAAAAATGCCCTGGTATACTGATACTGCACCTGGCCAGTGCCCTTGATTGTTTCCATTATTAGACTTAAACAGATCAAATAGCCACCAGTATGCAGGGGGAAATATGATGTTTATTAATACCAGACTGGATTCACACTTAATCTAACATGCTATCCACAGTATTAGAATTGAGAGCAAATATTTTTTGTCGCCAGTTTTTTTCTCCTTTGGGACAAAGGAGATATCGGATCAAAAAACTGTTTAATTTGCCTTCAGTGAAGATAATTTTATGATGGTAAAAACAGCAAAATGTGTCTGTGTATATCACAGGCTTTATTAAAGAATGGCCTGTGTAAAATCCTCATAGTAAAATAAAATTGAGTTACAATTTTAAACAATGACATTATAAATGGTTTATCATTATACTGGACCATGTTGAAGTTGAACACATTAGGGATTGTTTTACACCATCCCAAAATAGAAATGATTCATGCGCGAATTTCACTCTCAAGAAAGACAAAAATATTATATTTCTGCAAACCCATTTAGCATATTACATCAAACATCCATACATTATCTGTTCCTGCTTATCTGTGCTGGGTTGCGGTGCGTGGCCAGGTTTCTGTCTCCTGAGGAGACTGGGCGAGAGGCAGGACACAGACAGACTGCCAGTTTACCACAGGTCAGCACAGGACAAACAATCATTCATACACGTTCATCTCTGAGGGAAACTAAGAAAGACCAAGTAACTTAACATGTACGTACATACTGTATTTTTAAACCATGAGAAGAGGCTTAAGGGGGCTAACAAAGAAGCAATAGAACCACACGCACATTTATGATTCACATGTAAAGACACAGCAACCATTGCTTGCAAGCAGCATCAATTATATATTTTTTTTATTAAATAAGTTACTTATGACTATAGGGTGACTTGAGAGACTGTGTGTTGATTAAATACACAATAACTTCAGGAGTTTTGTTCAAGTGGCACCTTGTAAGAATCCTAAGGGCCATTTCAAACGCTCTTCAATATTTATGACCTTTGTTTTTATATGAACATCTTCCCATTGTGATTGTATTATGTAGATTGACGTTCTACAAATATATAGTTTTGATAAATGTATATTTTCAAATACCAATATATTTGCAAAGTTAAGTTCATGAAACCTTTGCTTTACGCAATATGGAAAATCGATGCTTAGTGAAAACAACAAAGTTCTCTAATTTTCTTTTTTTTTTTCAGCCCTTCAGCTATCATTTGACCTTGAGGACTTAAATTATTAATAATTTAGTTGAAACCTATTTGGAACCATATACAAATGTTAAATATATTTTCACTGAACGTATATAAAAAAGCACATTTGAGCTTTCATTTTAACCTATTAATACTGGTGACAAACTAACATAAAATTTATCATGTGTTTCCTGTTTCAACTTTTCCTCACACAAAGCAATACTGCCCTCATGTGGATTATTGCATAATAAAATTTTTAATGTTTAAGACCCCGTAAGAAATAAAATATTGGATTCTTTAACTTTGTCAGTAAACGTATTGAAATATTAATTCCCTAATTGGACTCTAAATTACTAAATAAAATACATCAAGTATATAGAAATTTCCTTTCCTTCACAGCAGAATATATGCAAAAGTTTCCTCCTGCTTGGAGACCTCCGAGTCTTTTTACCAGTTTTTGCGCTTTCTATTATTTAACCCTCCCCAGTGCTTCAGCTGAGAAGCCATTATTCCAATATCTGCTGACAAGAGAGAGATTCTTCCTGGCATGTGTGACTTCACATATGAATTGAGTTGATAAACAAAAAGTGAAGGTCCAGTCAAGTGACAGCACACATAAAAGGTTAAAGAAAGGATATTGGCTTTCAATGAAGAAAAAAAGAACAAAGGAGTACATAGAGAAACACAAAAAAAGAGGTAGAGGAGGGACAAATAGCAAGAATGCTGCAGCGGTTTAGAGGGGCTGTCAGGTTCAATCTGATGTGGGCCTACAGGATAGCCAAAGACCAGCGACTGGGGGAGAGTCCTAGGAGACTTGTGTTTCCTGCCTGCTTCTCCTGCAGACAACCTCTCTTTGTTTTACTGGCCCTTTTTTCCCCTCTGCTCACTGCCAGCAAATCTCCCCACCACCTCCACCACACCTCACCCCCGCCAAACCAATCCCCATCACCCCGCAAAAGAAAATCTCCCAACGGGGGCTACCTCTGCTGCCGAGACGGCTTAGGTGTTTGTGGGGTAGAGACAGAGGGAGGAGAGATGAGAGGGAAGGTGAAGAAATTCCAAACGGTGAGACGCAGACAGATAATAAAGTGTATGAAAAAAAGTCATGAAAGAGAGCAAAGTAATGAAAAACCACTGAGTCAGACAAAATGTAACTCTGGAATTTGAAAAGAAAACAGCGGCAGCATAAGCAGCTACTGTCTGGTATGGGTAGGGGGGGGATGCTCAGTTGTTTCACACATTCAAGAAACTGAGGGGTTCCAGAAATGATTTCTGTGTCTCATGTAAAACATGTACAAAGAAAATAACCCAATATTCCTATTATAATTGAATATTTAAACCTATAGAGGCCCTTCACTTTACACATATTCTGCTGTGTGAAAGGTAGGGAAGTAGAAGTGAAACTGCAGAAGAAGGAAGTAGCCACGGATGCAGGGAAATACCAAGCCCCAGTGATTGTGTGAGGGGGCAACTGTGAAAACACAAACACAAACATAAAAATATGTATAGAGATCACCCTCATCCCCAGCCTGTACAGCCCCCTTCCCTCACCCCCTGCTTCTGCCTTCATTTTTCCAGGCCTCACTCTGACTGCAACTCGCGCCAGTTTCCACTCTGGTCTGGGGTGTGGTGCACGCTCCTGGGAGACTTCAACTGCTGGATCAGTTAGTCAAAACAAGACCTAAGTGCTCTACAGAGAGGAGAAGACTGAGACAGAGGGACACAGAGTGAAGAAGAAAGATAAGGAGAGAGATAGAGGGAGAGGAAGAAAGGGCAACCAAGCCGTGAGAGTGAGACAGTGACTAAGACTGAGAGCAAGGTTAGAGTTGAGTCATGGACTGATTTTAACACTGAATTTGGGCCAGAAGGAGAGAGAGACCCAGACTGGCTAAACTGTTTTAATACCCATAATACAGGTGCTTTAAAAAACATCTGTGAGGAGTCAGAGCCAGAAGAAGAGAATGACGAAAAAGCAAAGACGTTAGCCACAATGTGAACAGGATATGTAAGTGGAAGTGTAAGGAACTTTTTTTTTTACATTGAGTCACATTAAGCTACGACTTTTGTCTATCCTTCACAAAATAGTTGAAGCTCATACTGAACTTAGATTGAAGGGATTATTTTCTCAATAGGATTTAGGCCTCTTGTTCTGACCAACTTTCCTGTCCCTGTTAAACACATCATGCTCACAGCATGATCCTTCCACCGCTGTGTTTCCTCCTAAGGAGAGGGTGTTAGGGCGATACTAATTTACAAAGAAACACAATGTGATTAATTAGCATCCCATCTATGGTTTGAAAAAAACCTGAATTAAAAAATCGTATCAATTTATTCGTGCCACTCCTCCATGAAAGCCTATTTGTAAACTGCTGGACTCATCATTACTCTTTGTAAAATTTGTTGTATACAGTAATACAATGTTAACCTTTAAAAAACATGCTGGAACATCCTGCCAAGACATGTAGGAAATCTAGCCACAGATATGCACACTTGTCCACAAGAAAATGGTAGACTGAGACCTTAAATGCGCACGTCGACACACACACACACACACACACACACACACACATTCACCCACTCGCAGATTCTTTCATAGCTGCTGCATTCCGTGTTTTATATGCTCTCTTTTATTCATAACATTGCCTTTTACACCGCAGAATCTGGTGCAGATTAAGGGTTGTCTCCTGCCGTATACTTGTGCTTACTCTACCCCAAAGAGCCTGAATGGTATTTGGCTGTTCGCACAAAGCAATATGAACACTAACATCTGGCAGTGTTCGTCTGCACAGACACTTACAACAGGTTCTGCCGAAGTAAGGCATGATTTATTGTTGAGTCACAAACTTACCAAGTTCTAACATTTTAATTTTATCTTCTTTATTTTATTTTTTAAAAGAATTTTGCATCACAGCAACATAACACTGTATCATGCTTCATTTCTAGGTTTAAATAAAAAGGCACAAATAGGACAACAGATTATTGTTTCCTTAGTATAAAAAAAATGTCACAGGAATATGAGCTCCTTTAATGCCACAGGGTGACATATAGGCCAGAGTCTTTGCACACAACTAAGGGTAGAGTCAGTGTTACAGGAGCCCATTATAGCAATCACCTCTTGTGAAAGGGAAATGCTCTCGAAGGGAGTGACCCACTGTTCCTGCCAGTCTAAATACCTGGTGTTGAGAACCAGGAAGACCAGGGTCAGAGGGTGACAGAGCAGAATCTTATCTGGCTTACCCACTGGTCTATTAGGTTGAAGCTGCGCAAGAACAAGTCCACAGCCGGGTAACTCTGACCACAGGGTCAGATAGAGAAAGAGGCAGAAGGCATTCTCTGACACTTATCAGAGCTAGTATTTCCTCTGCTCCTGCCTTGATAGGGCCCTTCATCCTGTGAGAGAGACTATCAGTGTTATTGCAGTCCTTTCTCTCGTCTCTGGTGGTGACATTCTATAGCCGATGTAAATTCTTTTTTTTTTCTTTTTTTGTTTGTTTTGTTTTTTTTTGCAGATATTTGGCCAGTGTCTATTCCAGTTGTGTCAGCACAAAGTAATGTTTGGAGGGTGAAAAGCCATCAAGAGGAAAGGAATGGTCATTCTGAACTGGGCTTGACTCATTGAAAACATTTTGAAAACAGCTACAGAAGAACTAGCAAAAAAAAAAATAAATAAATAAAAAAATAAACTTTTTTTTTTCAAACATAATTGTTTAAAAACCAAAACAGTTGTTTGTATTCCTAACGTGGTTAATGTGTTGTAGAGGAAAAGGAGGTTTGCATCTCAGTTATGTAAAACAATACATACTTCAGAATCATTTTTATAGACATAAAATTTATTATATTTTATGTCAAATGGTCATATTTTCTTAACAAAGGAATGTCTGTGTTCCTGTATGCTTATTGAGTACTTATCAGATTATCTCATCGCTAAACTGGGACTTAAATAAAGAAAACTTAAAATAATGTATCTTTAACCAGGGATCAGCTTGATATGATCTATGTCAGAAAAATAAATAGGATCAATTTGAACATATGTGTGATTGAATTAAAATGACTTTCTCTATGTGTGTCAAGATGACATTTGTAGTGATTTGGTGCTGAACTAATTTGAACTGAATGTTCAAATGTGGAGTTGTCTGACAGCCGTCAATGACGTGTTAACTAAAAATTTTGCACAAAAAGTAGCTTGCACAACTCAAATGTAAAACAGGCAGAAAAAAGCAAATAGACATTCAGTTCTGAAGAACTACAGAAAATGGAAATAATTAGCACTCCAAAAATACATGTAAAGGTTTTCATGTGGTGTTGCCCTTGCCCTGCAATGGACTGGCGACTTGTCCAGAGTGTACCCCACCTCTTGCTTGTTGAGATAGACACCAGCACCCCTCCCAATCCCACAGGAGATAAGTGTGTTGCAGCAGGCATAATTCTACATTTTTGGACCTATGTTGATGAAGTTGTCATGTAAGAAGCTACACGGTGATTTGAAAAGGATAAGTTGTCCTTTACATATCTTTTCAAAAGACACGCCAAGCAGCAAGTAATGACATTGTCTCATAAACTGGATCAAACTGAACAGCTGTAAACATGAATGCTATGAAGACCACTGTAGAGGAATGAAACGGTATAATTCTAAAGTAAAGGGGTTTGAACATGTGAGATACAATACTTACTAAAACTGAAGCAAAATATCTGAAGTTTGAGTCATTTTAGACTTCAAAAATGTACTCCTTTGTTTCTGAGTTATCAGCTTCCCTACATCACAATAATGTATCTAATCTGAGGGTCAGACTGATTTCTGTTGACCACATGGAAGAGGATAACAACCAACTGAAGAAGTGACACAAGTGACAGTCGTGATGGGTCTCCTCCACACTCTGAAACAGCTCAGACTTACTCTGTCAACAAGCTGTGTTCAAACATAAAGTTTACCTTTTTGAAAAATCTAAAATGACTTTTTAAAGAATGGGTGGTTTATTCACTATTTTCTCAGAAAATTATGGTTTTATGGTATCTTTCCTCTGTTTCGGAATAGAATGGAACAGGTTTTCCGGGTCACATTTATAAGACATAAATTGCTTATTCTTAATACAACATGAGTTACGCAAACATTGCAAATACAGCTCATCCTCACCAAACACTATTTTTAAGGTTTAGAAGGGTCAAAAATACAACAAGTAATACACAGTCTGTCATACTACAAACTGAGTCTCGTCAACCATTTAGTCAATCATGCACATCCACTCCAGCTTGATACGAGGCAGTCTCTTCTGTCATGTACGATAAGCACATATTGTTGCTTCAGCACCTGTCTGCGATGCCTGCTCCTCCTGTAAACAGCCCTCATTCACAGGCCCTCCTTCAAATAATCACCGCATTTGAAGTCTGTACGTGCCCCTTTGTTGCTGTGGAAAAAACTAATCAGCACGCTGTTCTTGCCTAGTTTGTTAATACAGCGCTTTTCTGTTATTCCATCTCTAAGCTTCGCTGTGTTGTCACAGCATTCAGGTAGCTGTCTTGAATAGCACAATCTGCTGGCTCGTATCACCTTAGCTACACAAAAGCTGCACCTGCCTGGAGCTTTGTCCTTTCCAATCAGCCATTGCATATGCTTTGGTTCTGGTGAGTGGGCTGTTTTCCAAAGTGTGCAGTGCTTTGTGGTTTTGTGCTTTTATTAGCATCACTGACAGGAATTATGATCTGAATTCCCAAATAAATTTTTTTCACAATCTTGTCTAACCCGCTGAATCCATTTCTCTATAAAGTCAAGTCACACACATCATTAGATAAGTGATCAGTATCTATTGCAATAGAATTAGAAAAATCTTCGTACCTTCTTTGGCAGCCAAACGTGGTGATGCGTCGGTATGAGATGGCGTATTGTAGGATAATGATGAGCTACCTGTAAAATGAGAAGATACATATTGAAATTGACTTATTTCACTGTGATTAACAGTTTAGGTGTTTAAATTATAGAAAAAGAAACAGACACAAACATTTAGTGGAGCTTTAAAGAAAACAAAACCCTCCATTCAACATGTTCTTTTTAAATGGATATTTAACTGTTCTGCATGGAAAAGTGAATGGAAAAGTTTGGGAGAGTGATGATTGTTCAATAACAATCATTCCTCTGGAGGATTGTGCTCTTGTTTGTGCCCCTCAAAAACAAATGAATAAGGTTCATCCACAGTGGACTAAATGTGTGGAGGTGAGGGTGTATATCATTCTTTTCGTCAGCAGGAGGCAGCAAAAATCTCAGGTCGATTTCATATGATCTCCCTCATTTCTCGCTTTCCATTAGAAAATAACATAAAAAGTGTTTGCACTAAGTAAATCTAGCCCAGAGTAAATCAAATACAGCCCAGATTTGAGGTCCTTAAAAATGTAAAGAAAACCCCCTTAGAGCCTCTGAGCGTTTTCCAGCACAACTACTCCTCCTGGGAGGCAAGAGTCCTCATATGGCAGCCTATTCACTTCACCTTATGGAGCAGAACTCTGCGCCACATTCCTCCACTTACACAGGCACCCTGGGCGGCACCAAAATGCTCTCTTAATTTTAGCTGCCCCGAGGCATAAATCAGCGAGTGGAAAAACAGACCCAAAAAATCCACAGAGAAAACACAAGAGCAGTTACTGCGAGTGAGTGCAAGCCAAAAATTAACACTGAGATGACTGAGCATGGGAAGGATACCCTTTCTGAATGGAGTGATATGAAAGGCAACCTTGAGTACAAATGGAGCTAAAATCCCAGTTGGAATGGACCGTTTTCTTGAGATGTGATGCAGGATCCTTACATAGTGTGTGCTGCTGCTGGTAAAGAGGCCTGCTGCGGCAGGCTCGGAGTCTGTTTTTTTTAGGGGGTGACTGCAGAGGTGAATGAGTGGGGTTCTCCACAAATGCATTTTAACCTCCCCTTACCCCACCCCTCCCTGTTCTACCTACTCCATGGCACCCCCAAGGGTCTGGGTCTAGTTTAGAAAGCTGGGGGCCTTAGAACAGGGGAGCTATTGTATAGGGAAGGGTCCCTCCTCACCAATCAAACGCAGCTCCCCATACAAAAATAATTCCACACGCTCAGTGTAAGCACACCCGGGCAAATGAGCCACCAAAGCAGTGTCTTTGGAATGAGAGTATAGGAGAAAAGATGGAACAGATGGGCAGGGAAGGGAAGGGAAAGGAGAAGGAAAGGACCATTAACCCTTTTCCTACTGTGCGCCACATATGTGGGCTGACCCAGACAGGCAAACCAGCAGCATTGCAGAGAAAACCTCAAACCATCCCACAGAGAAATTCAGGACCGCTGCACAGCTGAGAGTGAGAGTGAATGAGACAGAGGGGGGAGAGACCTCAGCTGACTGCTCGGTGAGGGGAAAAGTTGGCTGCGCTGCCTATTTATTTGCACTGCCTCTTCCTCTTTCAGAAAACAAACATGTCTTGGTAATCTGACAGCATGACGGGAGGACCGAACAGCCTTTGAAACCTTCACTCTGCCTTCATGTCTTCAGTCACATCTGTTCAGAGTCTGCCAGATTACATAACATCCACAAACAATTTGCTTTTCTCCCCTTTCTTTGACTGATGGGTCTTTCAAAATTCCTGCTCTCTAATTTGGCACACTCATAATGAAAATAATGTTTCTCAAACCTAATTTTGCATTGCACAGTTCCCATAGAAGGCACACAGTGCTCAATCAGTGATCCTACATGATGCCATTATTCTAAACATGTAGTGAACATTTCCCAGTGTTGAAGCCTTTACCACCTCATACAAGGCAAATTGGCTCCAGCCCTCATTTAAGCACCGAAGGACAAAACTCCATTTATACCAGGCTTAAGGTGAGAAATACATTAAATACCAAGGCTATTACTCAAATATGTATAACATATTGAAAAAGAAATAATGTTCTTGTACAAGTTCAAGAAAAGCCTCTGGCAAAACCAAGAACATTATTCAATATTTCCACACACACTGCTTGCTTTTTCTGCAGCCTCATTACAAATTTAGCTATAGTGTTTTCATCTCTGCTAATCTAGCTAAACTTTTTCTGCAAAAGCATAGGATAAGGAGTGAACTTAAAGGGATAGCTCAGAATTTTTAAGAGAGATTCTATTAAAAGTTTATAAGCAATTAGAACAGGACAATTACTGAGGTTGATTTCCACCATTTTAAACAACTACACTGTCAAAAATGTCATAACTGCTTGTGAAACAACAACTTCATGAACTTTTAATGCTTCATAATTTTAGCAATAGGCAACTATCCAAAGAACACAGAGGCCCTTTATTAATTACATGTCAAATTGGATAAATTAGTGCACCACCAATGATAATCCTCTGTGAAACATGCATTTAGAAAAGAACGTGTAATACTTTCAGATCAGACTAAAGAAAAGCCAGTGTTACATTCAACAAAAAACAGTGTATTAAAATTGAAATAACTTTTTTCAAACACTCAGACTGGAAATGCTTTATATACTTTGTTGTCAGAACATGTTTCAGACAGTAAGATTATTAGATGTGCACCACCCCCCGCCTTAATTTCTCATGTGAATAATTAAGATTGAAGATGTTCTACAAAGTCAGAAGTCTTCTTTGGTCTTGGCCACTCCTGGATAATCTGTTAGCTTGAACTAAAGTCATATATACTAAATGAAGACAGCAAGAGAATAATCTGCTGCAGGAAGGATAATAGCTTTTCTTCCAAGAAACTCAACCTTTGTCTCAAATACATATACAGCAATAAGGCAATAACCTCCCCATTACGCTCACACTGAAATGCCTACACCGGTAGTTGGAAAAATAACCTATAGGAGGTTTCCAAATGATTGCACACTTCAAAAAACAGAAGTGTTTACAGCTTGTTTACAGCCTGCTGAGTAATAGTTGTTAATTATTTATTATTTTTGTTTTTATCAGTTATCCTCAACACAGCTTACCCCCTGGTAAAAGTCAAACAATGAAGCATTTGAATCTGTAAACTCTTGGTTCTCAACTTGTGGTGCAAGTACAGCAGTTGGTACCTATGCTTCATTTAGAAGAGTTAAAAAGAAGTTTTGACATAATCTACATATTACCAAGTTAAATACAGTGCATAATAAAAAAAGATAAAAAATACAGGTAGTAAAATTTGTTGAAGCATCTTTTGTTGAGTAAAAAAACTGCTCAAAACAAACGTGCACTAAAGAATATTTTGTGAAACTGCTGAAGAAAGTGCATTGAAGGACATGGGAATGGTAGCAAGAAATAGTGCATAAGAAGGACATATATTGGGAGCTGGGTAAATAAACTTCTCATTATATGGCTAAACCTCAGAAGTGTCAAGAGAAAGAGCATGGCTGAACGAAACAATCACAACATGATCGTCTGCCCCTACACTCTGCAAGTCAGACTGAACATGCCATTGGATCGATACAAATTCAACTTTTCACCTGTATAATTTTGCTTGTGATATTCAGTTATGATCCACTTGTATTAGTCCATGACATAAAAGTCAAAGAAAGTACATAAAAGGTGGGGTTGTAACTTGACAAAATGTGAGAAAGTTATTAATACTTGGAAGGCAGAGAATAATTTAAAGCAAAGCTTGTTTATATCAGCATTCAAACAACTATGTTATAAGAAGAAATACTGTGGGTAATCCACCTCACCACTCCATTCCTCTGAAGGTCATCAGCATATGCTCCACATCCATTTATGCTAATCAATCAACCAATCAATCAATCAAATTTTATTTGTATAGCACATTTCAGCAGCAAGGCATTTCAAAGCTAATGCTAATGCATATTAATTCCTGAGCTCCAGGAGGCAAGTGAGTAGCCACAGACTGCTTTGTTATGGTGGCTGACAGCAGACAGCTAACAGTACAGGGCTTGCAGCCAGGCTGCTGAACCCCTCCACAACAGTGATAATCTGCCAATAGAAAAAACTAATGCAAGGGGGGCTCAATAAAATTGTTGTGAGGGAGACATTGTGGGGAGAGAGAGTGAACTCTCCAGACCTCCTTTTTCCCTACTCAGCCTGCGAGCCCAGATGTTTATGATCTGTATAAACTATTGAGGGCTTGAGAATGTCCCCCCTCCACCCCACTCTGAAGTGAACAGCAGCAGCGGTGCAAGAAGCCCAGACTTATCACTCTCCCTCTCCCTCAGTCTTGACTCCTTCACTGTAAATCCATCCAGGCACACAAGCAAAGGCGACAGCTGGGAAACAGAACTATTGCTACTCTCCACTGGCTTTCATTCACAGCCATTTCAAACCATTTCCATGCACTGGAAATACTCTTTTTTTTCAGTTCTGCCATATAACTTTCTCATGCTTAAAACCTGCTGTTGTTTTTCATACCAGTTATCTGTCATGGAGCTGAGCATTCATTTAGCATTTGCTTTGACAATGCTTAAGAATTACAAAGGATCAATTTGCAGTTTTCTTGCTATTAGTCCCATCTGGCTTTTCCTCTCACATTCCGCCTCTGCTCTCTTCTTGTCAGAAGATCCAGTCTCTTGCTGTCTGAGGTTTACTGCTCTGCTCCGCTTCCAGCACATGTGGTATCAAACCGACCTACATGGGTGCGATAAAGCAAACAGTCCACGGTCCCTCCCTGACAGACTAATTTGAACAAATTCTCAAATTGCACTCAAAATTGAAAGCACATTGGGGGTGTGGGCAGCCGTCCCTTATAAAAATCCAAATAAGTAACTAAGAATGAGGCCAAAATAATATTCAGCCAACTAACCGTGTTTGTTGTCAGCAGCTGGGTACCCAGACAGATGTTCGACTCGTGCTCGTGGTCAAATCAGCGTGGGTGTTTGAATGTTCCTGCGCATGACGTGGCAGGAATGTTTTGTTATGCTATAGGGTGGAGAGGTTTCTTCTCTGTATTTTGCCAAGAGTCCTAATGACTGAGAGGAATGCTAATCAGACATTCAAAAAAATCTAGCCAAATGCACACACAGAACAGACAGATGTTTATGAAATTATGATGATTATAGCACCATCAATTTTTTGAAGGAGGATTGGGGCTAATATTTGAGAGTAGTAAATTGGGGCCGACCTTGACATACATGACCTATAATCACTAATATTTCCAGGATTTGGCTTTGCTCTCTCCTTTTTTTCTCCTTTTTTCATCTTTTGGAATCTTGCCTGAGCTCAAGTGCTCATGACTCAAGCCAGAGGTCTATTTTGTGGACAAGGCTCAATTATGATATTGTTTGTCTGTGCTGTGAGGGGAGAAATGAGAGTTAGTTAAGTATTTAAATCAGAGTCTTTGTCTTGTTTTGGGTTTTGTAAAACATTAATTGCTTCCTTCTTCCCTTTGGCCCCTAGTGTTAAGAATATATACTGTTTTTCTATCTCCAAATCAAGTCTTTCAGTCCTGACTTAGAAGAATTCATCATTTTGACTTGTGGGAAAAGATCCAAGGTAATTTTCAACTGGAAAGTGAGCAAGAACCCCAAGACATCCCTTCTGTCTCCAAAACACACAAAGTTTAAATAAAAAAAGAGCAATGATGGGCAGGGTTGCAATGCAGCAATTCAAAGCTAGTGTCTAAATTCTGCAGTCAGTGGCCATTATGAAAACTGCTTTGCAGAGTGTGCCCAGTAGCGGTCAGACAGATCCACCCGCTACAGTGCCTCACAGTGAGGCCGTTATACCGATGTTAGCCATCTCTCCTTTTCTCTCTCCCCAGATGCTCTACATAGAGAAAACCATTGACACCCAAAAAATACAGTTCCCATTACATCACATTAAGCTCCATTGCTATTTTAGACGAGAAATTTTAAATATAGTGGAGCTAGCAGTCACCCCACCCAATGTGCTGCCATGATATTTTGCAACAGCAGCAGAAAAAAAAAAAAAACACTGTCCAGAGCAACAGAATCCAAATTTTTGAGCTACAAACTAATGTGTATTCAGACCACAGCCACACCAGATGTTACATCTTATATCAAAACGTCATTTGCATATAGCCTCAGAAAACTGACTCTGCTTTTCCAATGAAACATATGAAGCTGGATTACAACAAGGCACTCTTCAAAGGTAAGAGGCTCATATTTATTTGCCCCCACTGAAAATTGCAGATCAACGTTCTTTGCTGTGCTGAGCACACAGGCCGAACTGCCTTCCTGAGGCAATGCACCTGGGCTTCATCTTTTTTGTTGGACAATGTGGAATAAAGGCGCTGCAAAGTGTAGCGAGGGGGATGTAGTTGATGGTTATCTTCGAGAGGGGAAAGAAACCCGTCTTGGTTTCCACATTTCTGCTACAGATGGAGCACCATTATGGAGAAATGAGTTCCAGCCAAAGCAATTCTCTTGTTCATTGTTGGTATAGTTCAGTGGCTAAATAATATCTATCATTTGCTCTCTCAGGCTTGACTTGGAAAAGAAAAACTTGTTTTCATTCTCATTCTTTGTTTAAAAGATTTGGAAAAAATATGAATGAAAAGAAACCAGTCACTTAATGATTTTCATTTTCTGGCATAAACAGATATCAGTCCATGAATAGCCTTATGCACATAAAAGAGTTCAAAGTTTTTCTTTCTGTTTCCAAGCACACTTACTTTCCCTGAGGTAATTGAGATGAGAGAGAAGCACTTCTGCGTTGTACAGGGTGGTAAGTCTGAGGAAGTCGTCTTTGCTCATCTTGCAGAGCTCTTTGCCGTCTGTATTTTGAAACATTGATGTGTCAATTTCTAGCAGTCCATACTCCTTGATGGCCCACTCCAGCCACTGCCGCACATGGTCCTGAGACCACAGTGATGGGTCTGAGGACAGAGGACAGGAGAGAGTGGAGGCTTACTGACCAAAGTGCTTAGAGATAAACACACAAATAAGAGAAACATGAAAGTTTTAAATAGATAAGTTTTGAAACACCAGGTTACTTTGTTCTTGCTTAGTGACTCCAAACCAGACCAGGGCTCCCAAGAGCACTCTATCATGTCTCACAATTTACTTTGCTGTGAACCCTATTCTATTATTATTGGCCATTTTGGCCCTTTGCCAAAATGGCCAATAATAAAATACCAATGTTTTTGCATTTATTTCTCTTCTAACCTTCCTTTTGTTCCCATAAAAACATTTTATGCAAATGTACAAAAAATAAATACATAAAAAACACATATCAACATACTTTTTTGCCAGTGTTTTAATATTTCTGAAAAAGGCAGAAATAAATAGTCTAAAAACTACTCATATCTCATGTATAGTTGATCTCAATTGTGTAATAGTTTCTGAAATGGTTGTATTATACATTATTGTAATTGTTTCTTGTATCCATTTGTCAGTTCAGTATTATGAAAGAGGACTAATCAAATTAACTATGAGCAACCTCCTGTACAAATTACATATTGGAATCACATACCCGTTATGTGAAGTAAAGTAGAATTTTAATAGATACATTGAAAGAAAAGAAAATAAACAAGTATCCATAAAACACAAAAGGAAATACTCTTTGTTTAATAAAAAAAATATTTTGTGGTTCTATGGTAATACTTTCTGTTGCTTCTGTTAAAGTTATTAAACATTCATTCAAATTATTATCATTGAATGAATGATTATTTCCTACAAGCATTTCTAAGAACAACCAGTTCAAATCTCTTACTTTTTACCAGTTCTATTGAGTGTGTATTCGACACCACAATGTTGATCAAATAAAATTCAGCCTTACAATTTTCAGCTTCTAAAGCACTTTATTCTAAGTGCTATAGTGCAAATTGACTGATGTGTTTTTTTAACAATAAATTAAGATAAATTTGTGGCCTTACAAAGCATGTATTGAATTTTTAACACACAAATGTTTCACTTAAGGGAGAAGGTTCTGAAAAACCTCTTAAAAGTATAATTTGCCATGTTCCTTTCAATTAAGTTAAATCAATCCCCAACCATAACTCAATAACCAAACACCTGGAAATGAAACAATTTTATTCAGAATTGTTCTTTGAAGAAGTATTGAAAAGTCATGTGACTAATAAATGTATACCTGCATAAAATTATCCACTTTCACCATGATGACATAAATAATGATTAAACAAACCTCTAGCCCATAAGCTATATCCCCTTTGCCTACCTGCAGGTACAATGACTCTCCGCTCATTGGTGGTCATGTTGGGGGGAGGAGCATTCTTCTCATCCATATAGCTCCCATAGGTCATTTGAGATGTGTCATTAGCCCCGACCAGCTTATTACATTTACCCACACTGCAGTCCACGGGAGACTCCCTGCTGCACAAAAACAAATCAGACTTGGATCTGCTGAAACATTATCAGCAGACATTTTGGGTGTTGAGTTCTTTTCTAGCAATTGAATTTGGCATCAAACATTAATGGTCTAAGCCTCCCCGCTCAAATATATCAGACGTTAAAAGCTGTAAAATGATAACAGTAGAAGTTCAGATGTGTCTGATTCTTAATGAAAAAATAAGAGATATCAGAGGAACAGTAAGTCGTTGTATTCATACCTGGATCCGTTCATGTGCTCATATTCTCTCTTGACGTTAACCCGCACAGGCTGGTTGATCCACTCCTGCTGTGGGGGTAAAGGGTTGATTTTGTGGGTCTGGCTGTAGTCCTGTGTGCCAGATGCAGTCATGTCTGTTTTGGGGAGAGGGGCAGCAGCAGCGTATGGAGGCTCAAATAAGGACTGGTCTTCACTCACCACTGATAGCGCCTCCTGTCAATGTGGGCAAACAAAAGGTTTAACTTACTTTTCACATATAAAGATATACATTATTTCATATGACATCAACAGAAACAGAATCAAAATTTGTTTTTTGTTTAGGATTAAAGATAGGGGGTCCTCCCAATAAAAAAAACAAACAAAAACAATAATCAACTCAACTCAGATGACCAGTTTTGAAGTACAGATACATAAAGAGATCAACTGGCCATCAAAACTGACAGATTTCTACTTTAATCGGCCCTAACCTTTGACCACCTGGTCAGAATCTCAAGTGTCTGTTTCCTTTTTTGACAGGTAAGCTAACCATAGACACAAGCAGCCTCAAAAGTCATTATCTTGAAAAAGGTAAAAGATGAACATGTACCTCTTTAACATATATGTAAGAAGGTAGAAATAGCATCTCAATTATATGATCTCATATTCACAAAAGCTAGCAAAAAAGGGTCAAGCCTCTTCCACCGCAACATGTGAAGTTAAATTTCCAATCTCCTGTGTATTTTTGTTTACACCAATTATGTGCACTTATGAGTCATATCACAGTCTGGGATCCTCTGTAGTTTGTGTATACAGTTCATGTAGGGCTGTAGCTTCCTGTTGATGTTCAGATCACTTCAATCATGCTTACAAAGCTGTTAGATAAGATGCTGCAAAACTCTTGGTCCACTCAGATTATAATTTGACAAGTACAGTGAGTATTAATTAGCAAATGCTTTTAGCTAAAACTAAAATAAAAAAGTCTTCTACTATAATGTTAGTCCCCATGATTTCTTATATGTAATTTGGTATCAGATGTCTATTTTCCAGATTAATGTGAACATCCATATCCCCTGTTGAGCCAGACTGTGTGCATCATTCTGAGAGCATTGGTCTTCCCTCCACAGCTGAAGACTCAACAGAAGCAGGGGGGTCACAGCTAAACTGACCCCTGTGCTTTGGCGCTGCTGGAGCAATGTCAGTTTATTAAAGAAAACAAACGCAGAAACTCGCAGAAACTCACAGAGCAGGCCAAGATATTGTGTGGTTTAGGCGCACTCCTTGCGTAATGTCTTAGGAAGCAAAGCTTGTGCTGCAATGCTGATGGGTTTGACTTTAAATGTCATTGTTTTAAAGAATCATAAAATTTCATCATCACTGATAAGTGCATAATAATGATTTATTCACATTATTTTTAGAAGAGTAAACACACAAAAAACAATAAAGAAAAATATTAAGTGAAATCATAACAATATGGCTCTGAGGATTTGGCTTGGTTCTGATGCACATCTGGATTTGATCGGATCTGATGGCACAGTGGAGACGGAGACGTGTCTGATCTCAGAGGACTGACTTTTTTTTTTCATTCCAGCATGCCACATAGTTGCTTCAGGGAGAAAGATGTGACTTGAAATTCATTAATTCATAGATCCTCCATGCAGCCATTCCATTCTTTAAAATGTTTATGAAAGCAAAGTCATGATCACAAGTTTCTGGATTTTCTTCTTTCTATGCATGTTTACTTTTTCCTCAACAGAAAGCAAAGTGCCTTGTTTCTCAGTTAACTAAATTAAATGTGCTATAGTTGAAACAAATATGTAACAACTTATAAGATGTGATCTAGGTTCTGAGCATTTGTAAAATTCTCAGACATTATCAATTCTAGGTATTACAGTTAACATTGACAATTCAACATTAACCTTTCATGAACATGACCTTCCCATAACTTTATTTTATGGAAAAAGGTAAGCTTGTTGGGTTGACAAACAAAAATAAGATTGAATGTCTTTTACATCAGTCTTTCGGGTTAATTATCAGTTTTTAAAAAGTTTAAATATATATAACCACATGAACAATTAGCTTTTTTTTCTCTGATTTCATCTGAGAATCCATCATTGTCAGAATTTAGGCAGCAAGACAAACTATCTGAGCAGAACACAGCAGCTAGTCTGCAGATGATAAGGGCAAAAGAGTGTTGGAATGTCTTATAACAGCTTGATAAGAGCTTTTCAAACTATTTTGACAATTGCATGTTATATTTACACTGACATATCAGTTGCCACAATTGGAGCCATGATTGGCAAGTGGTTTGTGTTCATCGAGATTACAGCAGGTTTTTTTTATTTCTTTGAAATAGAAACAACCCCATGTAACTGTAGAAAGCTGACAAAACAGCACTATTCTAATTACTCCAGTATCTCTAAGGAACACACACCAGCTACTTGTAAAATCTAGAGGCAGTTACACCTTTTTTTTCTGCTTGTTCTACACCATCAGACAATAATTTATGAAATGTGTCAGTTGGGTCAGCTTTAAAAAGAGTCCTGAGGTTTGGGGGTCCTTGAATAAATTGTCATATCATTGTGAGGTGTTTTCATTCGTTGTATTTGCATGCACAAAACCAATACCCAACTTTTTAAAAATGATATCAAAGCGCAAACCCTAACTCAAACTAACCTAACCCTCAAGCCAAGCACTTTAGAGATAACAGCAACTTTTAAGCACCTGCTGAATTACTTTTTACAACATATATTTCAGTGACATTTTGTACCCACAAATTAACATTCCATCCCTTCCTGATTCTTCTACTCGTAAACAAACAATATCAAATCCATCGATATAAAGTTGTGCATGTCAATTCATTTCTGATTTTAGTCAACTTTTTTTTTATAAATTATAAAATAAGTTATACATAAAATGTTTAATTTTATTTTAAACATTTTAGAATGAAATTAACTGCCTTCCACAAAATTATGTGGAAGACGGCATCATTTTGTAACTATAAAGGCTGGCTACAACCACAATGATCAAAAACTTCATGTTTTTCTTTTTTCATGCACATCATATAAACATGAGTGAGAGTCACGTCTTCATACAATCAAGGTTTAGAGGTAAATATATTGACTACTTTTGGAATGAGAATGTTTACCTTTTATATATCCATCCATCCATCCATCCATCCATCCATCCATCCATCCATCCATCCATCCATCCATCCATCCATCCATCCATCCATCCATCCATCCATCCATCCATCCATCCATCCATCCATCCATCCATCCTTTCTCATATACGTTTATCCCTAGCGGGAGTTGCAAGGGGTGCTGGTGCCTATCTCCAGTGGTCAACGGGCGAGAGGCTGGGCACAATCTGGATAGGTCGCCAGGGTTAAATAAGTCACAAGTCACGAGTGACGAGTGTAATTTTCAACCACACTCAACAGACACACAACAGACTCAAACGGTGACAGCAATGTTGCACCGTTATAGATAATGTACTGCATTGCTATTTTAACAAACAGATTATTCGGTGCAAACAAAATGTAGCTGAGGAAATTTTTTGTAAGACAAAATCTACAAGAATGACAGCAAAAGAAAGTCACAAACACATCCTCAACTACATTCACGCAGTATTAGTGCAAATTCAATTGTGCAGTTATGAAGCACAGATGAATTATTAAAGCAGTATGCATGGAAATTGAGAGACTGTGACTTTAATCTCAGTGCATCGCTCCAATAACAGAATGTCCAATAACATTTATTTTGTTATTTGAAACTGGTCAGGCTGTATCTTTGTTTAGCCTCAAAAAATATGCTGAAACTAGACTTTGGAATTATAGGTTTCATCCAGATTCAGGACAACCCTGTCACTTTTCAACCAGATACAGAGATCAATAGATATATTTTCCCCTTTCACAGTTTCACGTTGTTTGAAATGAGTGCACCAATATCTATTAAATTGAAATTAGTTCAGGATTGCAATGTAATGCTTCCCAGCCTCAGCTGGGATTGGAATAGAGCTCTATTCTGAGCTTTACCCTCAACATTAAGGGATAGTAATTTAGATATTGCATAGATATATTTTCAAACAAAATGTTAACTATCGATCTATTCTTTCACATAAAACAAACTTGTCTTGGTATTGCACCAAAACAGAAAATCAGGCTGTGTGATAACCTTAAGAATAGATGGCCTTCTCCCACATGTTTTTTTTTTTGTTTGTTTGTTTTTTTCTTCAACAGATATTACTATAACATATATTACTATAATCGAACAGGTAGTATTAACCTTCAGAATTTTTTTTTTTTTTTTCTTTTGGTGGGGTCACGGGGAGGAGCGAAGTAGGGGTGGTGTTGTTGTAGGGTGTTCCCCAGACAAAGATTGGGAAAAAACAGCAAATAAATCAGCAGCTTATAATCAAGCCCCATCATAAGCGTTGTGTATGAGTGTGACACCTGCTGGGAGCCTCCTTGGTTATGTTTACACCAGCCAAGTCAATCTGGCCCGGGTTGCAGCTGGTCCCAAATACGTCAAGAGTAGATAGTATATGCAATTGTTTCACATCCAGAATACACGTGAATCTGTTTGCTGTTCACATACACACACACGCAAGCACATAAACACGCAGTGAACCTAACAGGAGCCACCCAGTGGGTGGAGGGGTGGGCATTCCTGTCCTTTGTTTAAGGAGGAAGAGGAAACCTGTCAGGAAAAGATTGTGTAGAGCAGGAAACTCTCATGGCTAGAGAGTGCTTCCTTTCTTTTTTTTTTTTTTTTTTTGTGAACATAAATGTATAAGTTCATCTTTACCCAGGGACGCAATTATGATTGCATTTACTATTGGAACTCCTTGCTTTGTTAAAAAGATCCAAGACAACAAAAGTTCCATGCTCTTGCACCAGGGCCATTCATCCATGGCACATCACAAACCTGTGAGCAATAAATGATGGTATTCCATGGCTATTTTTCTCCTCTCTCTGTCTCTCTTTCTTTTCCCAGAAAAATCACACCACACCCAATGACCACAAACGAGCTACTTTAAATTTCCAAGAATTAAAAAAAGAACAAGTAACATCTCTCAGACGCAACAGGAGTAAATAAGCTCTGTAGACTGAATGTGTCTGACTGGGGACAAGCGGGGCTTCAACATCTGGACTGGAGGCTGTAGCCATAATGCATCTGGAATTCCAGTCTCAGGGAACCAGTAGCCAAGTGGTGTTAATGCAGACCAGCGCTCTG